TATATATATATATATATATATATATATATAGAATTTGATTCATGTGAAAACACCTCTTAAAATAAAAACATGTGGACTATTTTGGGGCGTTGGATGGTACGGTTAGATGGCTATGATTTAGGCGTGCATCCCCTCTCCTTTTTTGTGTGTTTTTATGTTAAGAGGGGTATTTATGTATGTTGTTTGTTTTGAGTCCTTGTCAGATTTAGGTTCAAACACACGCGCACGGTTGGAATCTTCCTATTCTTCCGTTTCTTCTATTGTCGTGCGTGGGGAGTGCGTCGAAGAATTCCACAAATCGCGTCGCCTTCGTTCCTTTGCTTTTTCGATCTTCATTCCCACGTTGCTATGGTTGTTGGTGGGGACCGCGGCACGCTGAAGAGGGGGGGGGGGGGTGATCACCGGATGTCGGCCGAGGTTAGTTCTTTTTTTTTTTTCTTCTGTTTTTGGCCTTTTTTGTGTTCAACTTTTGGGATTTTGTTGCTTGGTGGGTGGTAGTTGTGGGTTGGGGTCGGGGGTTATGGGGTTTTGCCGATTTTGTGGTCGGATTTTGTGTCTAGGGTTTTTTTTTTACTCGTTTGTAGGATATGGCAGGCTGGTTTGGGGGTTTGTTATCTTGTGCCCGGTCGATGGGGGTTTTGGGGTCTGAGGGTGTGGGTGTTGGCGTTTTCGTGGCCGGATGTTTTTTTTTTTTTTTTTTTTTTTTTTTTTTTTAATTTTTTTTCTTCTTTGTTTTCCAGCCGGTCACGTCTTGGGTTTTTTTTTTTGAATTTTTTGAATTTTTTCCGGTGTTATGGTTTATGGCAGGATGGGTGGGTGCATTGTGGATCTGGTGTGGTATCCGGAAGTCTGGGCAGTTTGCGCTTCTGTTTTTTTTTTTTTTTAAATGAATTTTAGTTTTTATGTTCATTGAGGTAGTGGCCGTGGTTTTCTCTGTTATTTTGTGGTCTAACTTAAATTTCTGTGGAATGATGTTTGGTTTACTATGTCATATTTTGAGTCTAGCTTAAATTACTGTGGCATGATTTTTATTACGAGTTGAAATTTTTTGGTACATATCCTTCTGACTTAAGTATGCTATGTATCCTGTGTTTTGCATTTATATAGTGGCGGGAGGTTTTTTTATTGTTCTGTAATGATAGGTCTAAATTGTATAGTATTTCATATGATGGTGTATAGTAGTTAGTTTTTGGATTTTAGTGCATTTCAGTTTTTTGTTTTGTTGTTACATGTTCTATGGTCGGTTGTTATAAGTGTGCAGGTTTTAATTGTTGTTACATGTTGTATGCTCGGTTGACAATTGATTTTCCAAATCAGGAATTTGGTGGGGGGTGGGGGGATGTTTCTGCCGGGGTGGGAGGGTGTGGTGGGTGTTCTTTTGGGTTTTTTATTGTGCTGGATGTGGTTGGATGTGGTGTTGTAGTTGTGTGGGTTGGTGTGCAGGGTTGTGTACTGAGTATTGTGGGTCTTTTTTCTGCAGGTAAGAAGCTTAAGGGGTTGCGGGGTGTTCCTGGGGTGGTCGCGAGGTGTGCGAGCGATGATGACTTCGTTTCGCTACCTTTGGCTTTCTTGGCTAGGTTGGAGCAAGACCCGCTGTGGAATGCTCCTGAAGATTCCTCTGATGGTGGTGAGGAGTTTGTAGAAGAGGATTCTGAATTTCCAACTGTTAAGTTTCGGGGGCAAACTGGTGTTCTTGTTGATGCTCTTCAGGATCTGTCCGTGCGTAAAAAAAAAATGATATTAGGGGTTTAGGATTAGGGCATTTGTTGGATTTCAAGGTGTCGGAGTGTCCTCCGAGTCTGGTGCATTTGCTCTTGACTAATTTTGACGGGCGGACGCAGACGTTTGACTTGGGTGGTGGTAGAGTCCTGCCTGTGTATGAGCGGGACGTTGAGTTGGTGTTGGGGTTTCCACGTGGCAAGACTGAGATGGTTAAGAGTGAGAGGGTGCATATTAGTAATCTGTTGAAACATTGGAGGGGATTATTTGGGAAGGTGCGTTATACGGTGTCGTTGTCCATGGTTGCAGACAAGGTTATTGGTGAGGTTGATGGTCGCGATTGGTTTAAAAGGAATTTTTGTATGTTGGTGCTGTCCACGTTGGTGTGTTGTATGAGCAATGACTATGCAAATCAAATGTATTTCGATTGGTTTGATGATGTCTCTCGGATCTATGATTTAAATTGGTGCAAGCTTCTGTTAGATTTGTTGGTGGAGACTCAGGATGCTTGGGTTACTGGTCGTCATAAATGCTTTGTGGGTCCTGCGGAGTTTGTTGCGGCATTATAGTTTTTGTTATTTTATTTTATTTTTTTACTGTTTCATTGCGTTATTTCCTTATTTTGTTGTTTTGTTGTTCAGTTGTTTTATGTGGACCGTGTGTTGCCGTTTGAGCGTTCTGTCCCACGGCTCGTGCCTTCGTTTCGCAGATGGACATCGGAGTTGCTTTTTGCGAGGGAGTCTGCGGAGATAATTGCTGGTGGGTTTGGTCGTGGAGAGATCGAGCCTGGTGTTGGGGGCTTGAATGTGGATGGGGATGGCCCCGAGTATGGCCCTAAGGTTGGACTGCACACCAGTTTATCTTCCTTGCACACCTTTTTGTTTTTAATTTATTCAGTCCATGCTAATGTAAGGTTTGCTTATGTTTTTTTTTTTTTTTTTTTTTTTTTTTTTTTTTTTTTTTTTTTTTTCTTTATCTCTATAGGCAGTTCATTACTTTATGTGCGCACTGTTGGACTTGTGTGTGTGCTTACAGGTTTTGACTAGTCTAATCAAGGTTTGTATGCTAATGTATGTGTTCTTTTTGTGTTCGCGCTAGACGTTTGAATGTGTGGTTGGTGAGGCTGTTGCTGTTGTTGCAAGTTCTGTCGATACCTTGGATCAGTTGTTCAAGATGGCACATGGTAGGGTGGTAGAGGGGGAGGTTTGTCGCCGATTTTTTGCTCCTATTCAGGACCGATTGCGTGTTTTGGATGTGAATTTTTGTGACATTTCTGAGGGGGGGTGGCCTCAATGATATGCCTTCGTTTAGCATTGGTTTAACTCAAGATTTTGCTGTGGCGGGTCCTGAGGGTAGAGGTACCGATGCGGTTGTTGAAGTGGTTATCAAAAATGCGGCGGAGTTTAGGAGTGATGACCCTGGGCCTGTTAATGTTATTCCTTCGGTAAGCTTGTTGGTGTTTTGTGTTGTATGTGTTTGATATTTGGCGTTGATTTTTGGTTTCTATTCTGGTGTGGGGTTCATTAAGTTGGGTGTGTGTTCCCTTGTAGGAGGTTGGGAATGTGTGCGATGAACCACCTGGTTTGGGGGCCTCGGTGCAGGTTCGTTGCGGCTTTTTTTTTTCTTTTTTGTCAAATGCAGTTGGATGAGTTGCTATTTTTAATTCTGGTTTTTTTTTTTTTTTTTTTTTTTTTTTTTTCGTTGTGTGCTGGCGTATACATGTTATTGTGCTTGGCAGTGTGGCCTCTATATTGGTTTATGAGTGGGTGTAGTTTTTATGTACATTTTTTACATGTTGTTGGTTGTAATATATTTGGTTGTCTCTTTTGGTGTAGGGTATTGGTGATGTGGTGGGTCCCGATTGTCTTGGTGGGGATCAGGTGAGTGTGTGTGGGTCTTTTATTGATGTATGAGTGGGCTGTAGTTTTTCTATTCATTTTTTACATTTTTTTGATGTTGTTGGTTGTAATATCTTTGGTTGTGTCTTTTGGGGTAGGGTATTGGAGATGTGCTGGGTCTTGATTCTCTTGGTGGGGATCAAGGTACTGTGTGTGCTGGGCCCGGGTGTGCTGATAATGATGGAGGGGGGGGGGGGGGTTGTTGTTCATGGTGCTGGCACCGGGCTGAGTGTTGTCCCTACCTCTGACGGTCCGAAGTTTTTTACGCCCACGGAGGTTTGTTTCGTTAATATCTTCTTGCATTTCATGTTTTGCATATGTTATAGAGGGTGTATGCTAGTGGGCTGTACTTCACGTGCTTGCACGTCTCTTAGTTTCCCATGGCTGGTTTGGTGCTTGGTTTTGGTGAGGTTAATACATGTTACGGTTGTTTGGTGGGCAGGTGTGTGTTGGTGGTAGTGGTTCGACTGGGCCGACATTTTCTGAGGGGCCGGTTTGTGCAGCTCCGGTTAAACCTGTTCGTCCTAGTAAGTCTCATGCTTCTCATATTCCGGTCGTTGCCTCTCACCTTCAGTATCAGCCTTTCAGCGTCAGTGAGTGTGTTACGTTTCCTGTTCCTGATGTTCCGGAAGAGGCTTTAATCGTGAATTGGTTGCTTGGGGGATCGACTGCTGACATGTTAGTTTAGTGAGTTTGTTTCTTTGTGGTCGGTGAGTCGTGTAGTTTATATTTTTTTGTGACTGTTTGGTGTTTTTTTTTGTTATAGGGGGCGTACTATATTTTCAGCCGGCATTAGGTCTGCGACTTGGGCTGCGGTGCTTAATTGTTTGGAGGGTTCTAAGCCTCGGTCGGCCCCGTCACGTCTTTTTGCGTCTACGATGACCTCGGTTAGTTTTAGTTCCACCTATTGCATTTCAATTTCTATTTTGTGGGTTATTTGGTTTAATATTGACAGGTTTCGTCTTGTGCTTGGTTGGTGGTTTGTGTTAGCTCACGACTGTTGTTGATACTTCCCGTCTATGGATCAGAGGGACGTGTGGTTTCGTGAGAGGTTAATGATGGATCTCCGGTTATCACCGTCGTGTGGTTTGTGCGCATATATATTTTTCTTTGTGCACGCAGCCAAATCTCGCATTCGTTAATTCAATTTTGTTAGTGTGCGCGTCCTGCTTCGTTTGTGTGTGCGGTGAGTTTTTTTTTTTTTTTTTTTTTTTTTAAAGACTCGCGTGCATCCATGCGTTGTGTGTTGGCTTATGGATCTTTGTGCGCGTATATATGACATAAAAATGATTGCTTCATAGAAGTAAGTAAATATGGTTCGTAAATGTAAACATAATGACATTATTTCATGGGTTGTTGTATTGAACTGTTGCAAACTTCGTCTTATGCAAGTTTATCCGGACAGGTGCGGCTGTTGTGCCCTGGGAGATCGCATATATTGCATGTTCTTTCCCTTTTCTTTTGGTTGTTCGTGGCGGCTTTCTCTCTGTTGCTTTTGAGTCTCTTCCCAATCCCTTTGTTCTTTGCAACTTTGGGTGGTTTTATTTGTATGTCGTTCGGTTTGCTTGATCCGACTAGTCTTTCAAACACAGATTCATTGTTGGCACCCTCTTGTGTTTGTTGCCTTTCGTTTTCTAGGTCCTTCTTGAGTTGTTGCAATGTTGCCAACATTTGGTCCATCTTGTCTGGCCAACCATTCACTAATCCCATACAGTTGTAGAATTCATTCCATAGTTGATTTGCAACTTTTGTTGTTTCATTTGCCTTGGGTATTTTTGTTCTTTTTGCCCATGGGACATCGTATAATGGCTGTGCACATGCGTCTCGTGTCCATCGTGAGACGATATACTTTTGTGGGATTGTTTCATACCCTTTTGTCTTCATCACTTGCAGCACATGCCTGCATAGTATACCGACATGGTTGAATTTCTTGCATGCACACTCTATTTGCTTCGTGCTTGGGATTTCTGTTACTTCAAACATTTTTCCACCAGTCTCTTCAACTTTGTAAGTCCATATATCACCTACGTTATTTTTTTCGGTGATGTGGCATTTGAAACTAGCATCCCATACCTCTTGTTGGAATTCATAGAATATGTTTACGTGTAAACTCTAGCAGCGTGCTTCTCAATACTCAAATGGGTTTTAGTTTCAGGGTACGAACCTTCATTTTCTGCGTTGAGTTTTGATTGTCTTTGCCTCTGTTCTCCAATGACACTATTGTATTGTGCCATGAATTCTACCAAGCTGCAGTGGTGGTTTGTAAATTTACCAAAGTAGTTGTTTTCTGATTCCGACCGTGATGTGGTCCTTAGCAGACCTCCCATTGGTATGTCGTTGAAGTATGCAGGTATCCACGATGCACGTGCCTCGTACAGTTGGGCAAACCACTGGTGTTCTTCAAGATTGTAGTCCTTCATTAGTGTTGTCCATTTCCTCTCAAATTCATCTATTGTTAATGTGTCATCCCATACGGTGTTATTTAGTTCCTTTTTGAAGTCTGCGTTGTGCAACAATGCAACCCCTACCTTTTCCCCAACTTTTGTCATGATGTGCCACATACAGAATCTATGCCTTGTTGTTGGCATAATGTGTGGTACTACTATTTTTAGTGCTGGATCTTGGTTAGTTGTAGTACATCTTGGTGTGTATTCCATTGCAGTTTTGAACTTCATGACTAGCCACTCATATGATTCTACATCTTCTTTCGCAATCAACCCTGCCCCAAATGTTATGCACCTTTTGTGGTTATCCACCCCTGTGAAAGGGACGAACACTAACTTGTACCTGCAATGTAAGCACGATTGTAATTAGTATTAAGCAGACTTCTTGTAAGTTGCCGACTAGTATACAACACGTTGTTGCGCATGCTGATTTACTACGTCCGGCACGCTCTTTTTTCCCCTCATTAGCTCCCAGCGCGCACACTGTTTATACAACGTATGTACAGTGGCCGGTCAGAATAAATTAAACCTCATACGATTTATACCTGTTTGTACTGTATGTGGCGTCAAATGACATGACATCGCCATAATATGCATAATTCCTCCGACATTCTGCGTCTGCCAAGAATAACCTTGTTAATTGCGCTTCTTCGCCTATGTCGAAATCGAAATAGAAGTCCGGGTTCTCCTCTTTTCTTTTGAACATGTCTTCTATCACCATTTGGGCGTCGGCCTCAGCTATATAGGCCAATAGGTCCCGTCTAAAATTGCAAAACTCAATGCATGTTGCTCCTACATCTGTAAAACTGCCCACCATCTCTTTGAACAGTCTGAAAGCTTTTGTGGGACCGATGTTTTCCTTTGCACAGTGAGCCAAGAAGGTTTTGTGACCGATGTCAAGTTGCCTATTTATCTTTAAAAAAGGTTTGGCCGCATCTGAGCATAAACAAAGGGTATGTCGTAGCTGGATTGCATGTACTTTATATTCGCCTTTGTCACACTTTGTCATTACCATACGTGCCTTACAGCCTATCCTATTGGACACTCTCCTCCGTCTCTGTTTTACTTTTGAGCTATTATTGGGTTCCTTCCGTTCGGCCTTGTAACCCTCTCGTGAGCACAGCATGTATTTTATTGACACTTGCCCGAATCAATTTCTACGTTTTGTTCCATGCCTAACATCAAATCCGGCTTCCTTAGCATATTCCTCGTAGAATTCAATTTCGTGTTCAACTGTTTCGAATCGCTGTCCTTCGAACGGTGTTCTTTCTTTTGTTGTTGGCGGTGTCCAGTATTTTGCTCCATCTTTGTGTATTTTCATTTCGCATCCCATTACATGGTGTGCACAGTGGTCTTCACCTATTCAAGACAACAATTAAATATTTCAGTTTTCGTCCAATAATGAAAGATGTGTTGCAGTGTGTAATTGTGTTTCAATTTGGGGTATAAATTATGTGCATGCTGGGTTTTCTGTGTGGCCATGGCTCTAATACTGTGATACTGTGTGTGTATTTTTCACATTACTTTTATTTGGGTCTGTTGTGTGCCCGACTTACCATTATCCTGTGCACACGTATGCGAACGTAAGCACTGTATGTTCTGATTGTCTGATGATTGTTTAATTATTTCCCTGCCTTTCCTACAGCAATATGCTGATGTGTAAATGTCCTCATGCATGTCTCTACACCTATTTATCTACCCAAGCTTATGTGCGCATGAGACTATCTAACTTTGTGCTTAGTTCTCTAATCTCTTCACCCCTCGCGTGATCACAGTTTTAATCTCCTGTGGTTTTGTAGGGTTTCCCGTTACTGCTATTTGCACTGGGTTTCCCCAATAAATTTTATATATTTCAAACAGTAATAGCTTTCTATTCATAAATACACTTATGCACATACTTTTCAATAACTAAGCACGGTGTGTTCTACTTGATGCATAATCGTATTTCGATGCTTACCTGGGAATTTGTGTGTGCGTGTTCTCCATGGTCGCCTCCTTCAGTTGTTGTTTGTGGCGGCGCCGGTCTCTCTTCTCTGCACAGTGTTTTGCGTTTGGGTGGTGGTTGGTGTAGGATTAGGAGTGCCCTATTTGAAGGAGGATACCTAATTATACTCTAATTAAACTCCTTTAATTTAGGCTGATTATGTAAATCGTGTTTTAATTTCACCTTAATTAGGATTTAATCAATTTGTCTGATTTGCCCTTTTCGCATGTTATCTTACCACATCAATTTTTGCATATTACATCCAAACCATTAATCTCATCTAATCTAATGGCTCATATTTGTCCACAGATTTGTATTTTAATGGTGTTTGCATGTGAATGCAACCCTATATATATATATATATATATATATATATATATATATATATATATATATATATATATATATATATTTATTTATTTATTTATTTTCCAATATTTGAACCAAACGCACACTTAAACTAAATATTTAGACTCCATTAATAACGGGTTTCAAACATAAATGACATGATCATGTTGAGCATATATAATATATAAATATAAATGTGCAATCTAATTATTAGCTTAGACTTTTAGTTGTGATGGAGCACATGTTTCAATTTGGTATCAGAGTCAACTTCATGCCAATTGTTATGGATTCAAATCTCTGTGTCATCCAATAAAAAAAAAAGATTGTAGTCAACATGTTGCTTGGAACCAATCAAAGATAATCAATTTGCACACCTGAAAGGAGCTAATGCTTCAATTGTTCAGTACTACAAATTGAACTTTAGGTTGACATTACGTCAATTTTGTACATAACAGGCATATGTATATATTTCTTTTACTAGGACTACTCGATGACTTAGATCTAGTTAGTGTTTTGTACATAACTAACGTATAATATATATATATATATATATATATATATATATATATATATATATATATTAAATAAATTTCAGCAATGGTCATCCGACTATATTGATTTTCCTCATTGACTTTTAATTTGGACAATTTAAACATTTGGCTTTTGAAATCTTTTCAATCTTGGTCCTTCCGTTAATTAAAAGTTAAGTGGACATTAGTTTGAAGGGTAAAGTAGTCATTTCAGAGTTAGCCTTTAAACCTCACTGCCAACACTTCCACCGAGGTCCACCAAGCAGGATGGACCAACAGATTCCGAGCACCTCACTGCCAACGCAGAGCACCAACAGCTTGTGCAAACCAGACCTCCCAGCTTCAATTTTTTTTTTCCTATTTCGCTACACATCAAATTCCAGTAGCAACCTCTCAACTTCAATTTTCAGAATCAATTCAATTTAATATGCAATTCCATTTCCAGTAACACTCCCAATAGCCTTTCTTTTTTCAATTTCCAGTAGTTTACTCCACTTCACTCATTTCATTTGGCCCATCAATAAAGAACCAATTCATGCTAAAGGTCCGGCAATTTATATCCTACACCACGGCGCGCGTTGCACTATGCGCTCAGATGCAAAACGACGTCGTTTTAATTTTTTAATTTTTTTTGAAATTTTCCGCCCCAGTGAATGGCAGTAGTTTTTTCTTTAAAAAAAAACCTGCTGTTCAAGAATGTACATAATGTTATACTACAATACATATAATTGTATACATGAATGTACATAATTATATAACAAAATATACATACTCTTTTTAAAAGATAATACACATAATCTAACATAATACATAATAAACATAAACTTTTAACATAATACACATCAACTATTAACATAATACACACAAATTTTCTGATTCGAATGTACATAATTGTATAAAAAGAATGTACATAATTGTATAAAAAATGTACATAACTGTATGAACCAATACACATAATTGTATGAACAAATACACATAACTGTGTGAACAAATACACACCCAGCAATTTCCTACCGCGCCTCCCAAAACGACGTCATTTTTGGAGGCGCGCAGCGCACAGTGCTATGTGCGCCGTGGTGTAGGGTATAACGATTGTAAAGGTCCCAGTCAGATCATGCAATTCCAGAGGTCCACCACCTTTGATTAAAACCCCCAATGGTCCATCAAGCTAGATAGACGACCAATCCCCATCATTCAATTAATTTTTCATTCGGATATCCCCGGCCATGCTTCCTCCACGCCCACCTACACAATCTCCCTCCTAGCCATTCTTGATTTGATCTTAGTTGACAACCCAGCTCCCCCCCCCCCCCCCCCGCCCCACTCAGATCGGCTTTGTCCCATTCCATCAAAATAATACATACTTTAATTGCCGTGGCATCCTCATCCTCATGATTTTGCCCATTCCATACCACTTCATATATGATTTTATCTCCTTCAATACTTGGGGTCTCTTTGGATAGAATACACGTTGATCATCAGCATTGTGCCGGCGGGGACACGGTAGCCACTGACGGTGCACTCATCTGAGGACTTGTGAAGGACTAAAGGTGAAGTTACCTTTGGCGATGATATTAAAGGTCAGGTTACTGACATAGGCACACTAAATGTAGTTGGCTTGTCAAAGCTGGACAAAGTATTGCTTGTCCGTGATTTTCACGCTAACCTTATCAGCATAAGTCAATTATGCGACCAAAATTGGAACGTGTGCTTCACTAAAGATAGTTGCAGTGTGATGGACAAAACAAACCAATGTGTTATGAAAGGTAAAAGATCAACTGATAATTGCTATATTTTAACAAATAATATGTTCTGTTGCAGGTCCAGCATAAATGAAGCTGAGCTATAGCATCAAAAATTGGGGCATCTGAGTTATAGACTACTTGATAAACAAGTAAAGACAGAAAGTGTTCGTGAGTTACCTAAAATGAAAATTGACAAATTTGCAAGTGAGAGTTGCAGGTAAGAATTACAAGTAATTTTCTAATTTTAATTATATTAACCATTTTGTTTTGCTAATAAAGTTTGCTAATGTCTTAGGTTACTTAATTTTTTCTAGACTGTTTAATCTATAGGATCTCAAATCTCTTCTCCTTTCAAAAGTTTCCCTATCCTTTTAAAATTCTTGTACCCAAAATTGTTACAAACCTTTATCTATTCTAAGACTTTTTCCCTTATTTAAAAAAAAAAAAAAAAAAAGAGAAACAAAAGGAAAAAGTGTATCAGTAACAAGACAATTGAGGTAGTTGATACAGAACACGACGGGAAGATTGATATGGAGAAGGAAGAAGACTTTGACGAAGAACATTTTCTCAGTACTTTGAAGGCTTCAAACACTCAGGAAGTTGGTACAGACTCTAACTCTCCTCCTTTAATTGGTATTACCTCAATACCCGAGTTTGGGAATCCTATTGTGTTACAGTACAATTTTTTACTTGCAATATTCTTTCGCAGCCTTCGTATGCCATTTATGTTTTTTTTTTTTTACTCTGTTTTTTTTTTTAAATGTGCCTAAGATGAATTTTGTCTTTTATTTTATGTGAGTGGCTTTAAAATTGAACATGAATTATCCATTCCAACTTCTATATATGCGTGTATCTCTGAATTTATTAACACATCAGGCACATTCGATCATTCTGGATTCTTTCTCTTTACTTGTTCGTTTAATTTTTATCTTTAAAGTGTTCGTTTAATTTGCCTGGGTTACTCTTTATGTTTTGTTATTAGTTGTTTCTGTGTGTCCACTAAATGTCCTATTTACGTTTAATTTGCCTGGGTTACTCTTTAAAGTGTTAGTTTAATTTGTATGGATTAAAGTGTTCCTTTTTGTTCGTTTAATTTGGTGCAATTTGATTAATGTGTTTATTCTCTTGTGTTACTTTATGTTTATGTGATTGTGTTTTGTTTGGTCCGGTCATGACCATATTTGTGTTTATTTATGTGTTTCCCGCGCTA